GACTAGAAAATGGGCAGCACAGCACGTGTAACATGTGCGACCAACACAGTGAGTTGTTCGTATTCTCCAACCGCATGAAGCGATTTGCATTGGGCCCTGCCGTGTCTCTGTTAACGAGTAAACTTTCACTGACGCTCTTTGTTCGGCATTCATCATGTTCTTTTGCAAAGTCACTTTCTCTGACCATGACAGCTTATTTGAAATATTGTGTTTTAAATACAACAATTTTGATTCCAATACTCCCAAGTAATATTGTGACTACTTGATGACAGTGATCGGATTTCATATGATAAAAGTTTCGGCGTTTCGGTCTTATATTTTGAAAAAAAGAATTAGTCCCCCGTTTCATATTATAAGTCATTTTGTTTCAAACTTAACTAAGTTTATAGATAAAATTTGACTTTGACCAAAATCAAAACGTCTTATAACCTAAAATGGAGGGAGTAACTACAAGCCCTTACTTACACGAGAGATACAGACATGAGACTATATATATATAGGGCCTGTTTGAGGGACCTTCTAGCTGCTGCAGCTTTTCGCAGAATCAGAAGCTCCCTAAACAGTACAACTTTTGATACAGATTCTGAGAAACTGTACTTGTAGAATCTAGAAAATAAATTACAAGCCAGAAGCTATAAACATAACTTTTTCAGATTCTCAGAAGCTGGCTATCAACCATCTAGGTCTCTGAATTTTAATCTCTCCCAAACACGTCCATACTACTCCATGAAAGAGTACAATTATACTCTACATCGTATAAATTAAAACAATAGTATATAAGGACATTCCCAACCCAACGACTAAGATAGTGTCATGGCATTAAATAAGTTACCACCTAGGAAAAAAAATGATGTGGCAAGTGAATAAATGAGGAAAGAGAAGGAAACCATGTCTTATGTAGACATGGTTTTCACACAATATCCAAGACATTATGTGAGATAAGTAGCATTAAATTAAAGTATGGAATAGTGGTGTTTGCATTAGAAGAGTAGTGTCTAGTAAAATTTATAGAAATCATGTATAGTGTTATGAGTTGGGACTGCTTGACAAGGACGGAAGACGAAGACGCCGCGAGTGAGGCTGACGCCCCACCGCCACGCAGTGACGAGAGCCCGTGACGCGTGGCCTGGGCTGGTACGCGTGTGGTGGTGTCTGCAGCTCGCTCGCTTGCCCGTCACGGCGTCACGCCCCCGGTAAAAGGCGCCGACGCGCCATGGGACAGCGATGAGACGAGGAGCCGTCCAGCTCCAGGTCCAGCCGCACTGGAGAGACAGGAGTCCAGCTCCATCCGCAGCACGACAGAACACAGGAGGCTGCACCAAACCAAAAGGTACTAGCACTAGTTAACTGAACAGTGAAAAAAGAGTGTCTAACTGGCCCTGTTTAGTTAAAAAAAAACTTTTCACATATATGAAGTATTAAATATGAAAAAAAACCAATTACACAGTTTACGTGTAAATTGTGAGACGAATCTTTTAAGCCTAATTGCGTCATGCTTTGATAATATGCCTCTACAGTAAACATTTGCTAATGACAGATTAATTAGGCTTTATAAATTCGTTCGCACTTTCCTAGTGGAATCTATAATTTGTTTTGTTATTAAACAACGTTTAATACTTTAAATATGTGTCCGTATATCCGATGTGACACCCGAAACAAAAAATTTTGCCATCTAAACCAGGCATGTATATAAGAGTACCGGCAGAAGTTCAGTAGATAGATAGAGGCCATGTTTAGTTCCCTTCAAACTTCCAAATTTTCCGCCACATCAAATGTTTGGACATATGCACGAAGCATTAAATGTGGACAGAAAACAATAAATTGCATAGTTTGCATGTAAATTGTGAGACGAATCTTTAGAGTCTAATTACGCGATGATTTGACAATATGGTGCTACAATAAATATTTGCTAGTGACGAATTAATTAGGCTTAATAGATTCGTCTTGTAGTTTACAAGCGGAATCTATAATTTTTTTTGTTATTAATACTTCAAATGTGTGTCCGTATACGCTAATTGTTTTTACCAAAACAACTAACACGGCCAAAAGCTACTCCCTCCGCTTCAAACCAAACATTAACACTGCCTTCATCTCATATTATACTCCCTCCGTATTTTAATGTACGACGCCGTTGACTTTTTAATCAATGTTTGACCATTCGTCTTATTCAAAAAATTTAAAATTTATGTTATTATCATTTATTTTATCGTGACTTGATTTATTATCAAATGTTCTTTAAGCATGATATAAATATTTTTATATTTACACAAAAATTTTGAATAAGACGAATGGTCAAACGTTGATTAAAAAGTCAACGGCGTCATACATTAAAATACGGAGGGAGTATAATTTACTTTAATATTTCACTAATCAAACTTTACATATATATAATATGTTTGTTTCATATCAAAAGTATTAATATTTTTTTAAAAAATATTAAATTTGAATAAGTTTAATTAAAAAATTAAAACAACTTAACATAGGAAGTTAACAAGGAAGTAGTTAACTGAACAATTCAAAAGGAGTGTCTAACCGTATATACATTGCAGGAGTAATTCAATACTCCCTCCATTTCAAAATAAGTTATGTCACATGTCCAAATTTTTAGTATTATAATATGTTACATTTCGTATTAGATTAACTTATTCTGGAATGGATGTAGTGGATAAATACTACCACCTCCATCCCAGAATATAAGAATTTTTAGGGTTGAACACGTTTATTAAGAAAGTTGGTAGAATCAAATAAAAGAAGATCGTGATGGGATGAAAAGTGAAGATAGAATGGTTGTGATTGGTTGGAAAGATAATGTTGATAAAAAAGTTATTATATTTTATGAAAAATCCAAAAGCCTAAAAGTTGTTATATTTTGGATGGAGTGAGTACATCTCTATTCTCCATTTCATAATTCAATGACGAGATAAATAGGTAAAAAACATTATATTTTACTATAGAGGTAGTATCGTACAGTTCATCCGGATAACACGTCTCTTGTTACAATTACTACTATTAGAGCAAATTTAATAGAATAGCCAACTATTGACTCCAAATCATCTATAGTTAATTTTATAATCAATTCATGCAATAGTTACCTGTAAACATACACCACACAATTAATACTGGTCTCACTTGTCATATACACATATATTTTAGAGTCTGTGCTGTAGCTAGCTATAAATTTATAAATTTATAGTCCGCTACTTTTCTCTATTCTTTTTTATTTTTTCGAAATATGTTTATAGGTTGGTTATACTACTCTGCTACTGTAACTGCTCTTAACCGCTGTGAAGAAGCCGCCAAAAGCAGGGGTACGTACTTGCCTTCTGCGGTCCCTGCCACAGCGGCGCAATGAGTCTGAAATGTCTCCAGCTTTAACTGAGCCACGCCATACTCATCTCTCGATCGATCATCAGTGTCACAGCGTCGCAGTACAATTGCAAAACCCCACCGCATGTGATTGTTCAACCAGGCTGCTGCAGGGCCAGCTTGGTTCGTGTTCGCTCGGGCGACAGCTTTTGACAGTGTTGCTGCACTTGTTGATCCTTTCTCATCAATAACAATTATTGATTCAGCTGAACAACAGTAGATCAATGGATACCCAAAGATTGGTCTGCATTGACGATGGAGTAAACAGGAGTACTCTATATCAAAAGTTCAGGGTAACCCATGTTACCTAATAAATCAAAACGGTTTATTAGGAAATAAAACTTAATTTATAGTTAAAACTTTTATATATTTGTTCGTAGCGATTTAAAAGCTAACGCTAAAAAAATTATGTTAAATTTTTTTTAAAATTAAGTTTAAAATTTCAAATTTTGGCTTTTGTTGATATTTTTTTCAACAAGGCGTTTAGATTGTGGACGAGCGCGACAGAAAAACCGCTATGCAGGGCTCGGCCGTGGCCCAGGCTTGTCACAGCATGCTGGGGCATGTCTGAGGCTCTGAGCAGAGAGGCCTCAGGCTGCCCTTGCACTTGCATCTTGCAGCGCAGCAAGATGATAAGACAGGTCGCAATGGCTGCATTTAGTAATAATGTTACTGGGCATACTGGAGATCAAGACCCTGAGATGGTGGGGTTAGGCCCGGTTTCTTTCAGCTTAAGATTATTATAATCTAGATTATTGAGTCAGATTACTATAAGTTAGATTATTATAATATGTAGTAGAATAAACGGTTAGTTGTTTCTTTTCTAGATTATTAGAGCCTAGATTATTAGGTATGCAAATCTAAAGAGGGAGTGGGGTGGCATGGTGGGTAATTTTTCACCCAATAATCTGAAAAAAGCTCACCTAAACGAGCTTATCAGATTATAATAAGCTACTTCAATAAGTTGTCTGTTTCTTTCAGCTTACTCTCAATAATCTGGATTATAATAATTCCAAGTCTGGATTATAGTTATGGGCTTTTTAAATTCAAATTTCAGGATGCTAAGTGGAATTTCAACAAAGTTTAGGATTTTTTGGACTTTCAGCAGAACCGTTCTGATTTTTTTTTTTTAAATTTCAGGATATTTTAGGCAATAACGTCTTACAATCGTGTGATGTGCTCTTTGTAGAGGTGTAGTAATACGAATGTTTCCTGTCTCGTGAGTCGTGGCTCAACTGTTCATGCATGTTAAAAAAATATTAGAGAAAGGTCTATAAAATACATTTATATCAAATCTTAAGTCCAAACTTAATTTCTTTTAAAAATAAAACAATTTTTAGGTGAATAGTGTTGTGTTACTATTTATCTAAACTTTGTCTTTTTTTACTCCATAATAAAGTTGAGTTTAAACTTAAAATTTGATGTGAATGTATTTAATGCTTACACCTATTTCTAATAGCTTTCTCATGAATTCACGGGGTTTTTACGGGTTTTTAAGTTTTCACCGGATGTATCCCCTTAAAATATTTTACAGTTAGTCTCATATGTCCCCTTAAAATATATCCACAGAGAATCTAAAAATCAACACATCATCCACCCACACCAACTCCCGATGATTCTTGCTCAAGGAAGACTGGAAGAGCTCGAGAAATATTCCGTGTACTACCATGGTTAATTAATTATGGCTGTGTTTAGATCCAAAGTTTGGATCCAAACTTCAGTCATTTTCCATCATATCAACCTGTCACACACAATTTTTCAGTCACATCATCTCTAATTTCAACCAAAATCTAAACTTTACGCTGAACTAAACACAGCCTATATAAACTAAATTATGGCTATGTTAAAATAGGCAGCAGCATTTCCTAGATGCCCGCCCTTGCACGAGAGATACAGACAAAAGAGAAGCCCACGCAACTGAAACGACCTCCCGAGACTGCAAGGCCGCTGACGGCAAGCTTTGGTTCACTCGGGCGACAGCTTTGACGGTGTTGCACATCTTAATCCTTCTCATCCATTAAAATCCATTATTAATTTAGGCCCTGTTATTTTCTCCAACAAAAGTTGAATTAACTTTTGGATACTCATGGCATGCTTTTCAAACTGCAAAACGGTATGTTTCGTGCGAAAACTTTCTATATGAAAGTTGTTCTAAAATATCAGATTAATCCAATTTTCAAGTTTATAATAATTAAAACTCAATTAATCACACGTTATTACCACCTCGTTTTGCGTGAAAAACTTAACCTTCATCTTCAGGACATTCAAACACCACCTTAATTGTACTAGAGTAGATCAATGGATACCGTAGATTGGTCTGTGTAACTGTGTTTATTGTAGCCCCGACTCCCGAGTCATCATCACCATGCCCTGCGTTCAGGATGGAGCAAGGGGTCAAATCTCCATGAGCACTATCATCAGATGTTCTACGGGAGCTACGAACAGGAGTGCATCAGATGTTCAAGCTGTTGATGTTTTCAGAAAGAAATTCAGACGGTGGACGGCCGCGACACAACGGCTATGCAAGGCTCGGCCGTTTGCCCAGATTGTCACTGCATACTGCGGCATGTCTGAGCAGATCAGCAGAGAACCTTGCACTTGCAGCGCAGAGAGATGTGCAAGAAAGGCAGGCCACAATCGCTGCACAGTCCTATCTTTTCCGTGTTGTTATTACTGGTGTGTTATTGGGCATCGAAGAGATCAAGACCCTGACCTTGTTGGTTCTTGGCATTGTGATAGCCACAAGCTGATGTGGCTGGCGATCTGCTTCCTCACTGTGCTCACGGCTGCCGGGGATGAGCAATTTGAAGGGTCACCTGATAATGCAATGTGAAAAATGTCAGAATTTTTTTTTATCTAAACATACCTCGGGAAAAAGGAAGATTTTTCCTCTGAATTTAGTGCATATCGACCTTGTGTAAGTCACTATTGAACCATACTAGTACCATAGACATAGTAATGCTACTAGAGCATGCAGAGAGCTTTGTATATTCGTGGTCCTCAAAGGAGAACCACCAAAGTTAATCACAATATAATACTCTCTCTATATTTAAATACATGGCACTGTTGAAATTATCCGATCAAACTTTTAAAACTTTGACCATCAATAACTCTCAAAACATTTAGTTTGAAAACATAAAAATCATATAGCTAGAATTTTCTTGATAGTTATGTACTTCACAATATTACAATTTTGTTGAATGTTATCGTTATATTTCAATAGAAAAATTGTGGTCTTACACACCAAGATCTGAATATGTCAGGAGTGTCATATATATAAATATAGAGGTAGTATTGCTTATGTAGTTATTTTGTAACATATGTATTCATCATACCAAGATACTCTAGAAAACACTTCCAATCTACCTTCAATCCTGAAAGGGAGTTGGGGGCATCCTCTCAGATCAGTGCCATGTCCGCAATTTCTACATTTGATTATGTATGATGGCACTACAAATGTTGGCGAGCCTCAGTTAGTGCATGCTGCAAGTAGAGTAGATACACAAAGAGCAAGGCTACACCTAAACATGGAGATAGCAACAAGCCAACATATTAGTAGATGAGAACTTTGAAAGCTCACTATATTTCGACGATTTCTGTTTCGAGGCATGGCGCCATGGATCTTGAGAGCCATTTGTGAACACTATTTTAGAAGCTGCACCATTTTTCATGCAAAATCGGGAAAAAAATGTGAGTATCAATTTAGCATTCAGGACAACAGTGAGAAAATCTGAAATCCAGCAGCGATAAAAATCTGGTATCTAGAAAGCAGCACAACCATAGTATGCAGTATGCTTACGGTTAGTGTACAATGAAATTTACAGACCGTACCAAGGTGGCAGCTGGACTGCTGAAATTGTTGATTCCATTTCGCAGGCATGGATAGGCCAATGATTCCACAAAAAAAATGCTAATATACAGAGAATAAAAGCTAGCTAGAGAGACAAACCAGCAATTCTTGTGCCTCCGTAATACAAGTTTGTCATGAACACATCAGGATAAACACCTTCACCAAAGACATTTCTGCATAGGTCCAAATGGTACCTGGAGATATGCAAAGCAAAAGGCATATGTAATGGTAAAAGTATTAGCTAGTGAACTTGATTATATATACCAAAGAGCAAAAACGTGAGCAACAGATAGAAATCAAAAGAGTCCAGGATATCTAAGATACACTGCATTAAGAGATTATCGAAGGTGAAAATACAGTCAAATAGTATGCTGGCAATGACTTCAGTAGAACATATTGTGGTGCAAACACGGAGTGATCACAACGAGAGTAATCGAAACATGACAATTTCTTAAACAGGTACCCAACCCAAGGCTTGACTGAAAAAGAATAAGCATACAGAGATGGAAAAAAAAACATAGGACATTACCCTGTATTGATCTCTGTAGAGCGAATGCTATCGTTTTTGGGTGCCACTTGAAAATAGGCAACCTCACTGCAAACTTGGAACCACCAAAGTCTAGAACCTAAAAATAAATGGCAATGCACTATGGGTATTACATTCATGGCAAATAACAAGAAAACGATGTCATGGTGTAACTGCAGTTTGGTTTCGCTAGCAAAAGAGAACAAATAGAAAATCATTTACTAGTATCATCAGGAGTCGTATTCTTCAAGTATTCCTGATCATATGAAGATACAGTTGTCCCCCATCTTCTAATGAAAAAATCTTGCACATACTGAGCATATGTTTCCTGTAAAACCAGCACATGAAAATTCAAGAAGGCTGGAATCAATGTACTTTTGCAAATGTACTGCCAGAATACAATGGTTACACGAGGATAAATAAAAAATAATAGGTGGCCTATGCAAATTAAATGAAAAGGTACAATGTTTAAAGAACATAATTATGACATGATTGTTGATATGTCAAGATTAAGTTGAAAACCCAGGCACAATTTTCATTAAAAAAAACTGGCACGGCACAATTGGGGTGGGTATCCAAGGCTCTACTATCCCACTTCATATGGTGTAGTAATCTTAGGCTTGCTTCTTGAGTGTTGAAAATAAACCTGGATGTATACCAGACCCGTACATTTTACTTTGATTGTTGCATCAGTGTATGTGTGATTGTGTAATGTGTCCGACTGCATCCTTGATAGATTCAGAAGCCGGGTATTTTTTTAACTAAATGAAACTTTAACTTTCTAAAAAAAAGTCAAAACTCTGGCTATTATCAAAAGTAACAGATGAATTACCACCAAACTTCTCCCGGTCTTCTTCGCATTGATTAGAGGGGAGCATACAGCATCAGGACTCCCATATTGGAACTGCAAAATGGCATAGGTTTTCAACAACCAAAAATATATCTTAAAGTTACAGTGATATCATAATTCACATCATGCATACTCCTATGGCCGCCGCATCTGCCAGGAAGAACAGGAAATCACCATCATTTTTCAACTGCAAATCAAAAGTGGATTAAAGCATGCGAAAATCCTGGAAACAGAGAGATTGTATTCATCGTGTAGAACTAGAGGTACTTTTATGTTACAAAAGTAAAAAATGCACATCCCAAGTCCTCAATCACAAGGGGTTACCTTCTCTGCTCCAAATAAAACCTTCACAGAGCGGCTGTCCAACCGAAGCTGTTCATCGACAAGTCTAGTTACCTCCTGAAGGGCAGCTTTGCATTCAGGGCCAGCTGAATCCCCTACCTACACAATGGTAGCCATACAAAAAATTTCATCAGATCCAAAGTGGATTACACAGAACAGCAGCATGGATACAAGGATCATGAGTTCATGACTCACCATGATCCTTGTCCATAGCACTGGTGAAACTGTACTCCTAAATCATAATTCCTAACCTGCTTGTCAAAGTCAGTGAAATTGTACACAGCAAGCACCACCCCTGAGCTCGCAAGGCTTCCACATGTCAAGTGAGGGAACTTGAGCCTGAACCATGCACTAAGAGCACCCGAGTACGATACCCCGAAGACGAACCAAGGATTGTCAAACCCCGATGATCGATTGTACCTAGCATTCAAGATTTCCTACAAAAGCAACAAAACCACACAGAGAGAGAGAGAGAGAGAGAGAGATCAGAAAATCACGTGCTAAATAGTTTATCCCCATTTGAAACGCAGGGGAATTTCACATGAATTTGACCATAAACAGTTCGATTTACACGGGAATAGGGAGATTTTTCATGCATTTCGTCGATCTGAATCCTGACCTGGTAATGCTGGCGGAAGGCGACCAGGTCGAACAGTGCCTGCTTGGACGACAGGAACCTCAGGTTCTCCGTGGTGAGGCTCTCGAACGGGGAGCTCTTGCCGTAGTACCGGTGCTCCGGCGTCACCACGGCGGCGCCGAACTTCTTGGAAAGGACCTACACGGCGGAGGAACCCCAACAAATCAGCAGAAATGGCATCGGCAACCGTCGATGGGTTTGCGATGTCTCACGGCCAGGTAGTCGTTGGGGATGCCGTTGCAGGAGGACTCGCCGCAGATGCGCAGGAACACCGGGCCGCCGCCGGCGTGGTAGTCGGCGAACTCGTAGTACCGCTGCTTGAACTGGCGGTGGTCCTGCACGCCGCCGGCGACATCAGCGCGAGGGCGCTAAACCCAAAGAACTTTTTTGTTTCTCGCGACATTACATATCAGCCCCTGATATTAAAACTAATACAATCCATGCCCTCGACGAGTGAACAAGCCAGAGCCACTCAGGGATCGTTTTGAGAAACAGTTTTAATCCAGGGGGTTTTAGAGTAAAACAAAACTAATTCCTCCGAGGAGGAAGACGAGGAAGAAGACGACTCACGGTGGGGGAGAAGTGGTCGAGGCGCTGGTCCATCCACCGCTCCTCCGTCGTCAGGTGCCGGCCGGCGGCGCCACCGCCGGCGGCGATCGGCTCGGCGCCGCGCGCGAGGAGGAGGAGGACGACGGCGACGGCGAGGAGGTGGTGGTGGTGGTGGTGGTGGTGGTGGAGGAAGGCGACGCGAGGACGAGACCCCATCGACTCCGTGGCTGAGAGACTCTTGTTCGAGTGTTTTGTTTGGCCGAGACGAGGACTCGACTCTCGAGGAGTACTACAGCTATTATACTATTATAGTGGACTTTTATTATTCTTAGGATTAGGAAAAAGGAACAAAACGATGATTTCTAAGAGGGGGAAAAAATGAAAATTAAACACAGGATCTGAACTTGTTGACGACAAATTAAGAGTTGAGCAGTTACACTGTACCCGCTCCATTGCGAAATGTAAAAAGTTTTAGTTTTATACTAAGTCAAATTATTCAAAAATTAATTAAGTTTAGTTTATAGAGGAATATTAATTCATCCCTTTGTTTACAAAGTATTTACAAACCCTAAAAAGGTGCCACATTCTTGAAGTGTATTACATCCTAAATGTAAGTATAAAACTTTTGTTCCCTTTAGTTTAACGATTTTTTTTTGAAAATATCCATTTTTTTTAAAACAAAATTGCGTTTATATAAACTAGGGCGAAAAATTTGTGAAAATATACCTATTCTGCAGATCGGTTCCGCGGGAGCGCTACCAAAGCGCGGCGTGGAGCGGACGACGGAGGCGCTCGCGCGGAATGGGGCTGTGGGACCGAGCTTGTCGTGAACTTGGAACCGGCTCGCTCTCGCAGCACCAGTGTGCCGAACCGCGGCGCCATCTTTTTTGTTGTACTGCATGGCACTGTGTTCGACATTGTTCTAGTACTTTTGACACTGTTCGTGGGTCGGTTCCACACAATGAGGACACGGTACTGATGTATGAACATTGTCGGACAGTACTTGAAGTGTCGGAACAGTGCTACATAGGGTTGAAATCGCTGGGCACCGCGGTTCCGTGTTTGGGAACCGCGGGACCGTCGTCGTTCCGCGTTTTGGAGCTAGGGGACTGTGATGGTCCCGCACGACTGTACCGCGGGATCGTCGGTCCCGCGTTTTGAATCTGTGGGACCGTCATGGTCCCACATTTCTGTCCTGTAGGACGGATATACTTTTGCAAAACCTTTCCGTACATGTATATAAACCATACATGTATATAAACGTAAATTATTAAAAAAATAAGTATATTTGCAATTTTTTTCTAACTAACATCAAAGAGTAATGCATGATCGAAGTTAAAGTTGTCAGTTAATTAAAAATAAGAGATTAACATCTACCATGTCAAATAACGAAACAATGAAAATATATTTCATAACGGATATAATGATTTTCATTTCATATCTTAAAAATTTTATAAACTGTCAAACTTACGATAGTTATTTCAGAGGAAAAAAAACATCGGTTTTATATGTTAAGGATAGAAGGGGCACCATTCTTGTGAGATTATTGGTACCGGTAGCCTGGGACTCTTAATTAGTACCAATCACCCAATCAGCCAACCAAACCTTGTGTTATATATTAGGATAATTATTCAAGATAGCTTGTCTTGTTAGCCTTTCTTCAGAAAGCTCCACCCATGGACATATCGGCCAGGCTAGCTTCTTGTGCGATTGAAAACGATGCAGGCGTCTCTCACGTTAAACATTCTTTTGTGTAGGATATAGCAGGTGATTTATCTTGTACTTAGCTCAGTAGTAACATTTTACATATCATTGGCACTCTTCTGCAGAGAAAAGCCTGAGAGTTACCTGTAAGGTTATTGACAAATTATAATCGACAGTGATTATCTGGTACTTATCTTATATTTTCACCGGAAGACTGAACGAGTTCATCCGAACGTATTAAAAAGGAGAATAGTTATAAAGAACGGTGTACCAAAGTGTACGCCCAAGCACCACACGCTAACCACACAAGCACAAATCGCTAAGAGTGGGGCCTAGCACCAAAATGGCCCCCACTAAGTGTGGTTGATCGCCGCCAGGCCTATGACAACACCACAAAGACAAGACTTCGAAAATGATGCCACCACAGAGGTCACGACATCAAGGATGTTGCCATTGTCCATTTAAGAAAGATGTGATTTTCACCCAGAGAAACTCGTCGAGAAAAGAAAGAGGTACCCTCGACAATATCCCAAGGGGTTACAACGCCCGAAGGCGTAACCATTACCAGCCTAGTGAACTACCAAGTTAGGCTTTTGCCTGGAACCCCTACAACCTTACTTGTAGTTCGCCGCCCACTAACTCAGAAACCACCACACAGGCATTGGCAGCACGTGGCCTCCACCACACCGTATCGGCGCCCCCTCCACCGACCGACTTCCAAACTTGCCACTCCATCCACCCCCCCCACTCCGCCCCGAGCGAGAGCTGGCCCAGGCCCCCTTCGTCCCGCCACTCGCCAGCCTTCTTAGATTTGGCCCAAAAGAATATCTTGTAGTAGTAGCAGCAGTGTTTGAGCAATTATTACGGCCGTACGTCCTGAGAATGTTTGATCGATAACATGAGAATGATTGGAACACTCAACTGTCTGTCTTTTAGTGTGATTGTCCTGGCCTTCAAACTAACAAATGGTTGTTGGTAGCTCGAGCAGATAATCAGTAAGCAGCTACGCTCCATCCACTCTATATATGCCCTGAGATATTAGGTAGATCAACAATGAAATTGACGAAAACTGAATTGAATTTGAAGGGAATTACAGATGTGCTTGGCTCAAAATGCAGAGGCTCTGAGCAAATTATATCGGGAGCCATTGGTTAGAAAAAATGTTCACGATCACTATAGCTCAAATGGTACAATAGCTGGAGTGCTGGACAGCTAGCAAAACTAACCTTTGGTCCGTCTTGCATTTTTTATGAACAATGCGATCGACAATCTGCTCTATATTTTGCTTCACAGCTTCCGAGATGCACTTGACAACGAGTGATAAAGGATATGTGGTTTTAACCTTGAGATTCCGTATCCAATCCTCAACATACTCATAATTCTTAGAAAAATATTCAGAGGGACATATCTCCTTTCAAATCTTGAAAAAAAAAAACTTCACAGCTTCTGAAGATGGACAGTTCTTCACTAAGAGATATCGATGGATTACCATATTGCATCATCACTCATCAGTAAGAAACATCGATCTTACTACTCCATTAAAAAAAAGTAAATTTTAGCTACGAATCTGGACACGTTTGTAGTTAGGATTGGATTTTCTTTTGGATGAAGGGGGTACAGTTGAAGGATCTGGATGATTAGACGAGCGATGGATCAGGTACTAATCCGAAGGAGGGAGAGAGAGGCCAGGGTTTAAAGGAGGTTTTGTTCTGAGGAATTTCTCTCTTCTTTTTTTTTCTTCGGAGAGGGGCTTGTTCGTTTCTTCTTCCTCGCGCCGCGCGCTCCAATCCGATCCGCCCTGCTTGATCAAAACCCTAGCGATCGAATTCCCCCCTCCCCATTGCGAGCTAGTGGTGGCCAAAATCGGCCATGGCCCCTGACTGCGTCTTGCTCGACCGCTACGTCACCTTCCTCGACGACCCCGCACCGGCAAGCGACGAGGTCGATCGCCGGCGGCGAACCCGGACGACCTCAGAGACGGGATCGCCGCCTACCTGCGTGCCATGAGGCCGCGCGCGCAGGTGGAGAGAATCCCCCGCGGGTCACCTACCTCGCCATGGTGCGGCCGCCGCCGTCGTCGGATGACGATCCCCTCGTCCCGCAGTTCGGGCGGCAGATCGACTCCGGCGTCGTCGCGGCGGCCGGCGGCAACCTCGTCGCCCTCTACGCCGGCCCGTACCGCCCCGCCTCCTCGTCCATGGGGTGCTACCTCGTCTACGACGCCGCCGCCCGATCGAGTTCGCCGCCGCTCTCCACGGTCCCCGGCGTCCCCTACTCCGACTCCCACTCGAGCCCCGGCCGCGCGACCGTCATCGCGCCAGCCGCCACCGGCGGCGGATTCATGGATGGCCACAGTGTACTACCACCGTCGACCGCCGAGATCACCATCACCACATGGACACTCGATCTACAGGATGATCATTCGACGTCAACACAAAACTGGACGAATCGGGAAGCATAACTTCAAACTAAAAGTGAACAAGAACAGGGGTCTGAAGTAAGCTGTGACATGTACAAGTACCACCCTTGACAAATGTACATGTGAGCAGGCTATTAAAATGGAATGCCTTGGAATATACATTAGAATGGTATGTGGGTGTTCCTTACTGTTAGAAACTAGTGGTCCACAATTTGATATGGAAATAACAAATTTTGGTACACAGTTCTTGTTGCAGCTAGCTGTCTTCTGGCTTTCTTTTATTCTAAAGTTGTTCGAATTTGTAGTCCTGAAAGGAAGAAGTTGTTATACATAACTCCACTTTGCACTGCACTTAACATTGTGATAGGGCAGACTTTTTTTTTTTGGAAGTAGATAAAGTCTAAAGAGTCACTCTGATCAATTTTAACAAAGTATGTGTGACAAATATATCTGTTTCTGCTAGATTGGGCTTCTAAGCAGTGGAGGTAAGTGCAAAAAGGATGAAGATTTGATGATCTACGATGCATTGTCAAGTGATGTGATGAAGCCTTAATATTATGGTATGATTTTTCATAGCTTCTGTGGAGAACAAGGTTGAATGTGTTTTAGTTTATCTAGAAGGTTGATCTTATTATCAAGTAGTACTGGTGGTTTGATCCTGAATGTGTGGTTGTCTAATAACCATGCAGTACCACTGGTGGCTTGATCCTTAATGTGTGGCCTAAATCCTTCCTATATGACTTCTTTTAATACTGTTCCGTGCATAAATTGCATTTTATGTGTTGCCTGTACTCCCCCTAGTCACAAATGCTTTATACCATTGACATTTTTGGCCTCCTAGGTTTAACTTTGATCATTACTTTTCTATTAAAATATAACTATAATATCTATAAGATGTATCCCTTATGGTCAGGCTTTTCTAAGAAAAAAAGATGTAGTCATATCTCATGTTAAAAATGGTTGGAGTAGGATGTACCCGGTTATCTAATATCTTAGTCTCATGAATAAACAAAGTTTATCTTGTACATAATTCAGTAACATTTTACATATCATGGTAATCTTCTGCAGAATGGGGGAGCCTGAGAGCAACCTGTAAGGTTATTGACAAATGACAGAGGTCGTCACCATAGTAGTGTTTGAGCAATTGTTACCGCAGTCCTGAGGATAATGCTTGGTACCATGAGAATGCTTGGAACAACCAACTGTCCGTATTATTTGAGTGAATCATACTAGTCTAAATGACAGCTGCATTGTCTTGTACTCATGGCCTTTTGAACATATGGTTGGTAGCTCGAGCAGGTAATCAGTAAGTAGCTATGCTCCATCTACTGCCCAGCAATGGCTCATTGTCGTGTCCTGAGATTAGGTAGAGCAAAGATGTCATTGACCAAAATTGAATTTGAAGTGAACTGCAAATGTGTTTGTCACGAAGTCAGAGTGATCGAGAAAAGCAGAAGCTCAGAACAACTAATATGGATGTATTAGTTATAACTTTCTTTTTTTTTTTTGCAATCACTATAGTTCAATAGTATAATAGCTGGACAGCCAAAACCAACCTTGCTCTTGACATTCTGATAACCATAAATCAATGTGATCGACGATCTGCTTTCTTACTTTGTTCACAGCTTCTGGAGATGAACAATTAGACGAGTCACCTGGTAAACACAAAATACAAACATATTATGGGCTTGGTCACAACTCACAACTCAAACTAGAGACTTGATATATCTTAATACTAGACGAGGCAAAGACAGTTATCAAGTCTCTAGTTTAAGTTAAAATCTACAGCTAAAAAGGAAAGTCACATTTTCCCTGCAGTACTGTCCTCAAGAGAGGCTTCAGCAAAGGCTGGAATGTTGGATGTACCTTCAATATGTGAAGGAGCTTGAGGGCATCCAGATAGATCACTGCAATGTCCGCAATTGCTGCACTCAATTAAGTATGACGGCACTGTACCCATTGAAAAATAATTTGTAAGCATATCATAATGCCATAAAAAATGCATTCACACTATTTAACCATGCTCATATGAGATACAAAAACAGTGCTATTGAAACAAAGAAATGGCCAGGACTGTACAGATGCTCACATTCTTTTGATGATTTCTGCTTAGAAGCATGGCGCCATGGATCTTGAGAGCCGTTTGCAAAAACAATTTTCGAACCTGCAGGCATGCAGTATATTGATTAAAAAAAATACAAGAATTGATTGCCTGCAGAATAATGATTATAGGCTTTGGATGTCATACTGCATACACAGTACTTCCCACAGACCATTATGCACATTCTTGGTTATCCATAATATCCATTCAAAATTCATGATATCGTTATAATATATGGAACTTGTTTGTGATAAAAAGCGGCTATTAGCACTGCAGATATAATCATATAAGGCCATTTAACTCTCTAGTCTTCTATTTACCATCACTCACTGAGCATGACCTTTACACACTTGCATTACTAGTGCAGCTCAATCACTTGAGGCACACAATATGATCCAGTAATATGAACATCTAGAACCTTGTGGTTGTTATTTCTCTCTTCATCTCTTGTCTAGTTTTTCCATTTAGAGAGGGGAAGGGGAAGAGTTTCAAGGTTAAGTAAAAAATAATATTGTAGCTTGCTGCAGACTAGCACCATACCTTAATTGAGATCCAAACGACCATACTTGAAGAAACAAAACAGGTAACATGATTGAAGCTAATTATTCAAAGAAAAAAATGATATACCTGCAATTCTTGTGCCTCCATAGTATAAATTTGTCATGAATACATCAGGGTAAACTCCTTCCCCAAAAACATTTCTGCACAAGTCCAAATGGTACCTAGAAAGAAAAGAGGAACTTATATAAATACAATATCTAGAAGCATAGTCACATCTTGAAAAAGAGAAGATTATAGATAGCAGATCTAAATCGATAAGGTAAGATAGCTTCCAGTGGAATATTTATTTGAGGAAAGTAGATCTAGTAACCTTGTGTCAATCTTTGCAGAACGGACACTATCATTTTTTGGAGCCACTTGGAAATATGCAACTTCACTGCAAACTTGGTACCACCATAACCTATATGCTAAATAAAATCAATAATTAAATGCATAGGCAACATAAACAATTGGCCACTGTCTATTCATTAAGTGCTGCATTTCAAATTCTCAAAGCATGACATTTGGTAATATAGAATATCAGGGTTCGTAATTACCAGATTCAGCAGGAGGTGGAGTTGTGTTCTTCAAATATTCTTGATCATATGATGCAACTGATGCTCCAAATGTTCCTATGTAATAATCTTTCACATAGCGAGCAAATGTTTCCTGCACAGCAGAATAGAGCAAGCAAGGTCACCAAAAGGCATGGTGGAACAACTAAATAAGAGTCAAGTTTGACAAGGACTTATCACATGCTTACTAATGATTACAAACATGTTTTTTTTTTGTATGTGTGTATCTGGAATTGCTGGCAACTTTATCCTTTCAACCTATCTCAGATCATTCTTAATTCCTATCACCAAAGGGAGGTATTACTTACCACCAAATCTGTGCCATTCTTCTTTGCTTCAACTATTGGGGAGCACAAAGCATCAGGATTACCGTATTGGAACTGCACATGGTATAAGATTTTAATACAACAATTGCATCTGACAGATTATAAAGTCAAAATAAATGTACATTTAGCATACCGCAATAGCTGCTGCATCCGCCAGTAGAAAGAGGAAGTCACCATCATTTGCTAACTGCAAGCATCCGAAAGAAGTTGGTAAATAATTAAATACACTATTAGAGCATTCAAATGATATTTTATACCATGCAAGGAACTAACATAAGTGGTCATAAGGTTGATGGCACAAGTGCACAATGGCAGTTTAAGGACGTGGCGGTTCACTTCAAACTTAGTTCTAATGAAATTATAGAAGGTCCATAGACTTGGATACTCCATAATATATTTTTGATAAGCAGTTTCTTAGTTTGGTATAACAATGCCAGTTGTCTGAAAACTGAACGGAACCCACTAGATTATTACATGATCTCCAAACAAGTTTCAGAATGCAAAGTCAGGGAAATATTTAATATATTTGAGAAGCTATTTTTTAGCACCACTACTTTACCCTTAAAGTTAGCTTGACCTCTTTATACAGTTTTCTCCTTTCATGTTTTGTCATACTGAAACCAGGCAGGTAATATAAAAATCAGTAAGCTGTCAAAGCAAAAGAAATATACTTGCATATCACATAGAGGATTACCGTTGATGCTCCAAAGAGTTGTTTAACTGCATTGCGACCAGACTGAAGTTGTCCGTCAACAAGTTTTGTTGTTTCTTGTAGTGCTGCTTTGCATTCAGGGCCAGCTGACTCACCAATCTTCAGAGATGTGAATCATGCAGAAAGGTAGAACTTTTAGGTGCATGCCAAAATGCGATAACATTATAACATGATTAAGGATCTGCACCTGTAGTTACCTGTTTGTCAAAGTCAGTATAGTTGTAAACAGAAAGAACAACTCCTGAACTCGCAAGACTTCCACATGTCAAGTGAGGGAACTTCAATCTGAACCAAGCACTAAGTGCTCCAGCGTACGACCCTCCAAAAACAAACCAAGAACTGTCTGCTCCTGAGCGATTATACTTAGCATTCAAAGTTTCCTTCAAATAAGAGAAGCCAAACTCAGATCAGTAGGTACACTCGTTTGGACATAGACAGTACAAACGGTCCTATGCCCACCTGATAATATTGGCGGAAAACAGCCAGATCAAACAAGGCCTGTTTTGATGACAAGAACCTTAGATTTTCCGTTGTCAAACTCTCAAAAGGGGAACTCTTTCCGTAGTACCGATGCTCAGGGGAGACCACTGCCGCACCAAACTTCTTTGCCATCACCTACACACATCACACACAAACCATCCCATGTGTATGTTATCAAAACAGGTGAAGTAAAATATAACCATATGCTTAAAGTATAGATCACACCTAGAATGTGTAACAAATAATGTCTAATTGCTCCAGTTGGAAACTGTACAACTATATACTTGAGCATACTCACAGCTAAGTAGCTGTTAGGAATCCCGTTGCACGAAGATTCTCCACAGATATATAAGAAAATTGGCCCTTTTGGAGCTCGGTAGTAATCAAGGAATTCATAGTAACGCTGCTTGAATTGCCGATGGTCCTGCATTGAAAATAAAATAAAGGTCCATGAATGCCAAAAAAAAAAAGAAAGAAAGAAAGAAAGAAAGAAAGAGAACATCTAACAACGATGGTAGAATGCATCAACATTACTCCATATCACATCACATTTGAAACAACTTGAATCACTAGTCAAGAGGGGATTATGGACAACAGTGAAGCGCTAGTTTGTTATGTAGCAAGTCTAGCAGGCTCGTAAATTTTCAGATACACAACATATATACAAAGGGGAACATCAACATTATACCGCTGAAGTACCGATTGCCTTTTTATGAGGTCCGAAAGTCTCATGAACATTATGTGTACGGGACATGAACATCGGAATGGCGTTATCAAAAGTGAAGCTCACATGAAATCTATGAAACAAAACAGAAATTTCTTTAGCATCCTCAAACTCCATAAATTCTCCCAGCTTCAAAATCAATCGATTGTGCCAGTGCGGACGTGGGCGTGCTAATTCAGTACCAATTCGCTTAGTTCTCACACTGGAGACTATACTAGGATATAGATTGACTAGATTCCGACAGAGCCAAAGACCAAACTGATGCAAAGTGACGGCACAGCACAAATCCACTTCCCCATATCCCCAATTCCCCCAACCCATTGTCCCGTTGCGCACGAAGAGCAAAAACGAGGAACTGAACAAGAGCGCGGATCAACCAATTCAACCGAGAAACCGAAAGAGGAGGCGGTGGTGGGAGATCGGGACTCAACGGTGGGGTTGAAGTGGTCGAGGGTCTGGTCCATCCACCGCTCCTCCTGCGTCAGGTACCTGCCTGGTGCGGCGGCGCCGCCGAGGCGCCCCCCGCCACCGGTGGGAGGCGGCAGCCACAGCCCGATCGGCTCCGCCCCGGGAGCCAGCAGCAGGAGCACCGCCACGGCGGCGACTGCGGCGCCGACGGCGCTGGACGCCATCTCTCTCTCGCGCGCGCTTCCGCTTCCGCTGCGGCGGCGGAGAGGAGACGATGCGTTTCCGACGCGAGCAAGCAAAGCGAAGCAACCTCCCTTGGCGAGAAGTCAGAAGTGGAAGAGGATTTTTTTTTTTTTTTTGAGAACTGAAGAGGTAACGTGCAAAGTGTATTGCTACCGCTACGGGATGTGTACGAGATTTTATCCGGGCGTAGGGTAGGGTGTGACGAGGAGGATACGGTATACGGCCTAGGAAATACGGGGTACGGGGCCGTGGAATAAGTCCAATTTGCCTCCCTCATCTCTTGCGTTTGTGTGAATAGCATACCTTAACTGGAAAAACGGGTATAACTCCTCCTTCATCTCTAAAACCAGAGCAAATCACCTCCTCCCTTGGTGGTTTTTCCGACGTGGCATTGTTGACCTGGTTGACAAGCTGACTCAGCGTGGTGGGACCCACATGTCAGTGTGTAGCGCTCTCTCTCCCCCCCGTCCTTTCCCTTCACCCCGGTGTGGCTCATCGACGTGGGTCGGGCCAAGGCGGCAGGGCAGCGCGTTGCGACGGAGAGAGGTAGCCGTGCGGCGGCGGTGATGCGGGAGAGCGCACGGCAGCGGGCGGCGCGGTGGTCGGCTACGGGCGGTCGTGCGCAGTGGGCCAACCTTGCGCGGGCACGGCGGATGGCGGCGGCTGGCGAGGCTGGGCACGGGGCAGCGCGGCGACCTGGCGCGGCGCGGACGGCGATGCGGCCAGGGAGGCGTGACGGTTGGCTGGATCGGCGCCAGTGCGGCCGGCGACCGACGTCCTCTCCGCGTCCTCTCCCGCGCCGCCGCGACCCCGTCGCTGCCTGCGCATCCCCCGCCGATGCCGAGACTGCCTCCACCTCGCGTTCCTGTGACGCGCTGGAGGCCGAGCGCGCCGTCGCGGAGCTCCTCCGAGAGCACGGGGCCTCCCCGGCTGATGCGGCTTCCATCGCCGCGCGCGCCCCGGGGTACGCCGCCATGCTCGCCGACGGCGTCCGCGAGCTCGACGAGCTCGGGCTCTGGGAGTCGTGGAGCTCCGGGGTTGGGGCGGGCCGCGAGGTGGAGATGGCCGGGCTCGGGTTCGGGAGGAAGGTGTACTACATGGGGAAGGCGAAGAGTAGGCACGGCCGCGGCGTGGTGCCGCTGCTCGAGAGCGTCGGGGTGCGGCTCTCCTCCGCGAAGCTCATCGAGCCGTATGTTTCGGCGGCTGGTCTCCCGGTGCTGATCGATAGGGTGAGATCTACCACTTCATTTTGAGCTCAATTTGCTTCATTTTTTTAGTGCATTTGATGACCATCTCTGCCCGGTACAAACTGCATAGTATGAGTGGTGAAATTCGCTCATCATTTCTTCTCTTCTTTGTTTCTTGTTGCTCCGGCAATTCGCTCGTCATGGCGCGACCGTGTGGCGGCGGCGCATCCAGGCCGAGCGGCTAGCGTCATGGGCAGTCGGTGCTGCGGTGCATCAGCGTGTGGAGCGGATGCATGACCAGTTTCCATGGCGCCGATGCCGCCGCTTTTCTTTTCTTTTCTTTCCTTTTGCTTTTCTTCTTTGTTTCTTGTCCTCTCCGGCCGGGCGTTGTGGCGGAGCGACGGCGCCGCCTAGATGCGGACGCGAGGTCGCCACTGGGTGCGCAGGCTCGGGGTTCGTCGCCGGTATGCAGGTGCAAGCTCGCTGCTAGGGTGGCCACGACGCGACCACTCCCCGCCGCCGATGCCCAGCTCCTCTCCGCTAGTCTACTCCCCGTTCGTCGCTAGCGAGCGCAGCTGCCGCCAACGAGGGCCACCGCCGGCCGCGCCCCTACCCCGCCAAAGTGAAGAGAAAGGCCGAGGGAGAGAGAGAGAGATAAGGGAGAGAGAGAGAGAGCGCACGCTCCACACTGACATTGACATGTGGGTCCCACCATGCTGAGTCAGCTTGTCAACGGGTCAACAACGCCACGTCGGACGAAACCGCCAGCAAAACCACCGAGGGAGGTGATTTGCTCTGGTTTTCAGAGATGAAGGAGATGTTATACCCGGTTTTCCGGTTGAGGGATGTTATTCACGCAAGCGCAAGAATGAGGGAGGAAAAATGGACTTATTCCACGGGGCCGTAGAGCGAGCCCGTGTGGTTGCCTATTGGGCCCTGGGCCTCGTTTGGTTTCTGGATGGACCGGGAGTCCATTGTTCTTTGAGAGAGAGAGAGAAGAGAGGATGTTCCATTGGGATTGAGATTCTCAGCAGTCGACTGCACCGTGCCTTTGTCACTGATATATAGACCCAACGACACATCGGGTCCACATGTCAGTGATAAAGGCACGGTGCAGTTACTTCCATTGTTGTAGTGGTATCGCTAGATTTCAGCCCCACTACCTCTAAAATTGTAGTGAAATATGATGTGCAATGTTACTTCTTTTAGTTGCAATTTTGTTGTATACTAGAAAAAATGCCCGTGCTTTGCCACGGGTAAAAATATTTTTGGATCGTTATATATTTTACTCTTTGGTTTTGGACAAAAAAGCTCATTTCATTCCTTGTCAAGTGGAGTTGTAAGTCCGGCTCGCATAGCTGACTGTCCTTTTCAACCTCCGAAAGCTAATGTCATGTCCGTACATGCCAAAACCGATCCTTCCATCAAATCCGGTCGAATCTTTCTCGATCTTTCAAAATTGGTTTGAGGGTTTTTGATACACTCGATCTCCTCTTTCCGTTTTTATTAAAATCGGAGCGATAAAACTCGGGATAAAAATGGTGATTTTAAAATAGAGATTAAATTCAGTGAATTAAAACAGAGTTAAAAGAGAAAATCATAGGAAAATGATGAGGGAGCAGTGGGGAATTAATTTTTGGCAATCAATTGGTGGACGAAACGCATGGGAAGACAGATCGACCTAGCGGCGACGCTAGTGTTCAGCCGGACGATAAAAAGGCATGGCATATAAAAGAACAAATCCTTATCGCGTGCGAGAAAATACAACTAAAAAACAGCAACAAACATATGAAAAAAAACCCGGTAAAAAGGCCTGAAAAAAAGGTAAAAAAACAGCATGGGAAAAAAGTGAAAAAAGGCGAAGAGAAAAAAAGCAGATGGAAAAAAAAAGACAGACGGAAAAAATTGTGAAAAAAAGAAAAAGAGTGGAAAGGACATAAAGAAAGAAAAAATATACGGATAAAAAAAGAAAAAAGAATCGGACAGAAAGAAGGAAAAGAAACGGACGGAGAAAAAAAAAGGAAAACGGACAGGAAAAAAAAGAAAAAAAGGGCGAAAAATAAAAAAAGACGGACGGATTTTTTTTGACGGAACCTTGCTTATTTTTTAATTAGGTATAGATATAGTTTTACTTTGTTTTTATCTAAGTTTGGATTTTTTTTCCATGTAATTTTATAACTTTTATGAATAGCATGTTTATTTATTGTAATTCTGTATGTTCAAATATAATGCTCAACCTTTTACATATAAGGAGAAAAATAGGAAGGGTAACTAGAATCATTGGATTGTTATCTAAGGAATGAAAAAGAGACTGGAATTTTCATAAATTTCAGTCAACTGAAATCCAGACACTCCCTTGCTGGAAACATGTTTATTCCACTGTTTGTTCTATTCAAATTTACAAAGTAAGCTTGTTCTCACAGAATTTTCACAGAAAAAAAATTGTTACTTATCACAATGATCACGATATATATCAAACCACTGTCGATCTGTCATTACTCAGTGGCACGACCAATGCACGGAGCGGGTGCTGCATGGTGGTGATGAACCCGTAGTCCGCCGTGAGATCCACCTCCTCCTCCCATGGGACTCGGCGCCACTCGAAGGCCGTGACCAGATTCGCGAGAAAGTACTCCAGGTGCAGGATGGCATATCCCATCCCGGGGCACGTCCTTCGCCCGGCGCTGAACGGCATCATTTTCACCTTAGTTGTTGCCTCCTGCTTGCTGCCGATGGCCAACCTCACCCCTTCTTCCCCGCCCTCCATGAACCTCTCTGGCGAGAACTCTTCCGACGATGTCCATATCTGATAGTGGAGTTGAGAGACACTAGTTAGTGTATATAAGACGTATCTATCTATATATCTAAAGATGGCTGTTGTACGCTGCAGCTGATTAGTGGATTCACCGGCCATCAACTTTTTGACACGTGTCCATTTTCTCAGCTGTGACATACGTCATCTGTATATGAGTCGGTTTTTAAGTTCGTTTTTAGAAATACATATCTATATTTGAGTCGGGCTTTAAGTATGTTCTCTTTTGAAAATACAGAAGAAGTTGTATAAAAAATCTATTTAGAAAAACTTACATGCTAACTTGAGATGATCGAACTCCTAATTGTAACTTATGATTTTATGAAAAAAATTATATATCCAAGTGAATTTCTACAGTGAATTCCATCTTATCTAAACCGTATAACAATAATAATGAAATAACCTTCACCCGTTGCAATGTACGGGTATTTTTTCTAGCTAATATAAAAGTTAAAAAATTAGATAATTGATATGTATAGTATTTCAGGTTTTTTTTTTCCTGAGTTTATCACTGTGCGTTTGTGAGTTTTCCGTGTGATGGAAAAAAATAATTATGTGACACGTTGATGACGCTACTGTGCATACGGAAAAAAAATTCTGTGCGGCAGCGCCGCACCAAGCTTCTCGTGCATACCATGTTGTCTTCTCCCGATTTCTTCTATGGCGAAGCTGACCACGTTACCCCGCGCGACGTGCGCGCCGCCGAGCATCACGTCGCGCACCATGTGCCGCTGCACGGACGAGACCGGAGGATGCCGCCGCAGGCACTCCATCACCACGGCCCTCAGGTACGCGCACGGCTCGCCGCCGGCGGCCGCCTCGACCTCGCCGCACAGCCGCGTCTGGATGTCCGGCCGCCGCACTAGGTTCGCCAGCGCCCACTCCAGCTGGGCGACCACCGTCCCCGTCGCCGCGCCCAGGTACTCCGACACGAGGCCCACCATCTCGCCGTCGGAGAGCTTCCGCCGACGCCGCCCGTCGTCCGCCGGGACCTCGAGGTACAGGAGAGTGTCCACGTACGTCGTCGGCGGCGGCGGAGATGGCGTGCCGCGGGTGCGGCGCTGCTCGTTGATTGCTCTGATCAGTGGGAGATACATCTCTTCTTGCCTCCGGCGATGGCGGAGCAGCTGCTTCCATCGGTCCGGGTACACCAGCCTCGCCGCCTTCTGGAACGTGGAGAAGACGCGGGCGCGGGGGAGGAAGCGGAGGAACTCCTGCTGCGCGGCGCGCATGGCGCCGACGAGCTCGCCGTCCACGCCGTCGCCGAAGCACGTGGCCACATTGAGCGCGAACAGCGCGGCGTACAGGCAGTCGCGGACGGGCACCACCACGCCTGCCCCTCCGCCGGCGGAGCGCGCCGCGGAGGCCGAGACGTCCTCGACGAGCGCCCGGGCGCGGCGCGCGCGAGGCCATGCACCGGGTGGAACGCCTCCGAGGTGAGGTTGCGGCGGAGCGCGACCCAGAGCGGGCCGTGCGGCACGGTGTTGATGTTGTGGGCGCGGCCGCCGGAGACGATGGAGGTGGCGCCGCCGCCGGCGGGGCGGTCGGAGAACGCGTCGGCGCGGCGGACGAGCGCGTCGACCGCGACGGCGCCGTCCCTGACGACGGTCGTCGGCACGTCGCCCAGGCGGACGCCGAGGAGGCGGAGCACGGCTTCCCGGCTGATCGCCGCCGTCTTCCACGGCCACGGCCGCCTGACGATGGAAAGCACCGCTGCAATCATCAAGCTCGCCATGGAAACAGCGAATAGTGAGGCGGCGTGAGGTAGCAAGCTGCCCATCTCCATGGTCGTCGTGCTCGTCAGCTCTGCATGCATCCAATCCAGTGTGTGATTATTAGCTTTATTAGTAAAAGAAAAAAAAAGACCGAGACGTTGCTTTCTTTTAAGGCTACTTGGCCCCGGTCAATCGCCAGCTAATTTAATCATCGCCCTCTTGCATAGATTCGTTGAAATCTATCCTATCAGCATGAGCTATAAATTGTGATTTGGGAGTATTTTGTATTGTTAATCATGCATATGGCTTCTTTTCTTCTGAGATTTAGTCACTGCAACAACTTGCATTCGTCGGTTGTTCTTCCAGTAACCTGTCAAAAGCTTGTACTTTCATATTATAAATGTCTAGTTTTTTTTTCAAATTTCTTTAACTTTGATAAAAGCGTAACAACATTTTAAACACCAAACAAATATATTATTAAAATATATCAATGTTAGATTTAATAAAACTAATTTTGTTGATGCTGTAGATGAATGTTATTACTTTTTTTCTCTATATGGATGACCGAACTTAAGAAAATTTGACTAAAAAAATTTAAAATATTTTATAATATGAAACAGAGGCAACAGTACAATAGAAAAATAACCCTGTTCTCATGCCACCTATAGTTATTGTCGTTTCTCTAAAATACAGAGTAATTGACTTGTTGTTTATCTTCTTCTTTTCCTTTCACAATAGCGAAAATTTTGTTGGTCCGGCCTAGTTTAATGCACTCAACAGGTTCATTTATTTGGACAAGTGGAATGGACAATTGATTATTTATCGTAATCCATTTAATATTCAATCATATAGATAGATGACTAGAACAAGTTGGGTTATCGTCACGTTGAAGGCTTTAATACCGATATAATCTAGAATAAGTTTTCTCATGAGTTTGTTTGTAAAATGAGTTTTACAAAAGAATCAAAGATACAGCAACTACAGCTCAATCCTCTCCTATTCAGTCCCATATAAACGCGGGGATAAATTCAATAGAGAAATCGAGACAACGAGATAATTAAGAAGATGGGATTAAAACATGTAGGTCTAATCGAACAAACTGGGCCTATAACTATTTTACATCTGGGCACTACACATAACACAAGCTCCCTTTGTTGTTTCTATGGGTAATTAATTAACAAGATATGGACTTCTATCCTTAGCATGAAGCGCATCATGAGTTTAACAAATAGGTTGCAAACTCATGATGTCATCTGCTTTCATTACCCGTTTTGCCATCTAATTAGTCCGATCAATGATCAAATGCATGTGGCTTCCAAAATCAGACGATGCATTGACAGCTTGGGTATATCACGCTCTCTTTAAAAGGAAAGTAAAATGCACGCAAACGTATCATGTTATCTCTATATTGAGAGCGCTCTCGGTTTAGTTTTTATACTAAACAATATCATATATCCTCCTCGTGTATATTTTAACATATTTATTCATTTGCATCTGTAATTGTCAGAAAAAATCTAACCTAAATTTATTCGGAAGACGATTAAATAATTGCAATGATATTCTATACTCTCCTTTGTGCATAAAACATTAGTTCGCACTTTTACTTTGCTTGTTTTTTCGAGATTCAACTCCCTCCTATGATAGCCTCCCTGAACAAAGGCTCGTATGAAAACGGTAGAAAAACTATATTAACCGTTTTGTACTTAATATTTTCCCCGAAAACAGAACCGAAAATTGTAGAGCCGGAAAATTTCTCACCGGAGAGGTTCGTGGTGGGCATGGATGGAGTTGGAACCGCTCCTCACTGACTTAATGAAAACTAGTAAAACCGATAGAAACAAAGCTAGTCCCGGTTCGCAACTGTTTTTAGTCCAGTTCAGCAACTGGGACGCACAATCTGGGACTAAAGATGGGGATTCGAACTCAAGATCTCTCACCTGAGACCTTACGCGCGTTACCATCCCACCTATTACACACATATAACATATAAGTTAGATAGAGATGCTTTCTTTTTAAACTAACTCTGAAGACATTTTTAGTCCGAGTTGGTAACACCAATCGGGACTAAAAATATCTCTAGTCTAGATTGGTGCCACCAACTGAAACTAAATATCAATTTTTAGTCCGAGTTGGTGTTACCAACCGGGACTAAATATCTTTAGTCCACTAAAGATCGTTGGGGGCCTGACATGGCCTGACAGCTATGAACTGTGGTTAAAAATGATTTTTAGCGTCGGTTCCTATTTGAATCGGGATAAATATGATTTTTACCATCCGAGTAAAGATTAGTTCTTTGGTAGTGAAAACAACAACTTATGTTCAACACCGTACGGAAAGTGGTTTCGATCGGTTTTGTGACCATGCAACACTTGCTCCGTGCATCTGTTGTGTCACAAACGATGAAGGCGGTGGACTGGTGGCGTCATGATTTAGTGTGTAAGATCTTTTTTTTTAAAAAAAAAGGGATAAGATTCCCATCTTTTTGGCTCTATAGAAGTTATAATCAATCATTACAAAGTCTAACAATAAAACATTAGTTTGTATTGTCCCTGGCGTGGATCGAGGCAGCTCCCTCGACGGCGCGGATCGAGGTCGACTCCCACACGTCGACATTTATTCTTCTTAGGATGCCGGCGGCGACCCAGAAGCGGCTCGGAGTGGTGGCCCGATGGCAGCGGTGGGATGTAAGGTTGCGGCAGCCTTTGGTGAAGACGACGACAGCGGCGACGGCTGCACCCTCCCCTCCGTAAGATCTGGCGTGAGGGGAGGCGCCGACCCAGTGGCGGCTCGGCAGCAGCGGCGGCGTGCGGAGGCGGTATGATTCGGACGCCGCGGGCTCTGGGCGACCTCCTCACGGCGCACAGCGGTCGCGGCGGGATCGAGGCGGCTTCGTCCCCGGCAACCACCTCTCTCATTCTTTGATCCCTGGCGCGTGTCCTCGGCACCTTCGTTGGCACCGCCAGTGGGGATCGAGGCGGCTCCCTCCCCGGCCACAGCCATCAGCGCGGATCGAGGTCGGCTCCCTCCCCAACCGTCGTCATTTCTTCTTCTTCGGATGCCAGGCGGCAGCGCGCGTCCCAGGCCACCGCTGCCATGGATCGAGGCGGCTCCCTCCCCTACAGTTGCGGATCAAGTGTGGCTCCGTCCCTATCCACTGCCGTGTCCTCTTCTTCGGTCACCGGCTAACGTCCGTGGCCGCGTCAGTGCGGATTTGGACGGATCCCTCTTTTCTTTATTCTTGTGGTTATTTTTTCTAAAAAGCCCCTTCATTTTTTATGTTTACAGCGCTACCCCTAGAAGCGGAATTTTCTCTTCTTTGTGTTGTATTTCTATGAAAGACGAGGGGTTTTCGGTAAGAAACATGATAGGTATCAAACGGTCCGAGAACATATGCGATTTTCCGTGCAAACACGAGGAGCTTTTCGCAAAGTTGCTAACCACGTGTCAAATTCTCCGAGGAGCTAAAAAAATTCCGAAAAAGAAGAAAAATCGTAGCCTTACGGCTTTAAATGATTGATGATACGTCCCAACACTTCAATTGTGCCCCCACCAAAAATAAAGGAGCTCAGACACATGGTGAACTCCAGTAGGCAACTGGCAATGTCTGCAATCCTAGTGGATGTAAAAGGAAGACGTTTCAAATAAACATGGACGACGAGTTAGCGAATTTGTACACATATATATCTTCTACTATATACCAATTAAATAAGGCGAAGCTTTTGTCTTTGTTTTCATTTAAAAAGCACCTTGTTTTTCCTTTAACGAGCAATTTGAATTGAATTCCTATAGATTATATGTGTTCTCTATTCAGTATTTCAGCTGGATATCATTAGCAGGGACCCATAATCTCGAGTATCTGTTTTTTATCTTTTCATGACTCATTGATCGTGTGCTTGTTGGTAGCAGAGGCTAGAGACTCATTCATCGAATTTTTGTTTATAGTTTAAATTTCTTGAAAACTGAAATTCCCCGAGAGATCAACTTTTGAACCAGCTCGAAATCACGGAATGTCTAGATCGGAAACCCTGCTTGCACATTGTATTTCTCCGATAGCCGATCTAATAGTTCTCAGAAAAAAAAATGATAGCCTGTCCAGCTGGGCCTTAATTAATTCCATCCGTCCACGTAAGGAATAAGTTCACTGGAGGTCCCTCAACTTAACAGTGAGATTTTTCGAGGTCCCTTAACCACAAAATCAGAAATGTGTACCCCTAGTAGGTCCCATAGCAGTATTTTTGTCCGGTTTTGCTGACGTGTCATCCTAGTTAGAAATAAAAAATTAAAAAAATTACGTGGGGCCCACATGTCAACGCACATTTTTTCCTCCTCTTTTCTTCTCCTTCTCTTCTCTTTTCTCTCTTCTCTCTTCACCGGCAGCGGGCAGCGATGGGCGAGCGCGGGATGCGGGCGGCGGGCGGAGAGCCGGCGGAGTGGGTGGCGAAGCTGGAGCCAAGTGTGCTTCTAGCGACGCCGCCACGGTAGACGAAACAACTAATCGGCCATCGCTGCTCCGCCTGTCTGCTACGCCCATCGACCGCTCGCCATGCACCGTGCTCGCCCGCCCCCGCCGACGGGAGCGAGGCGGCCGGCCACGCCGGCGTGGAAGGGGCAAAGGAGGGCCGAGAGAGGGGTGGAGGCGACGGCGGTGGCGCTGCCGGGTTCCTTCCCCTGTCGCTGGTCGCTGACCGGTCGGGGGACGACATCGACACCGCGTTCAACCCCCAATGGCATTGTACGATTCTACTGTTTGCTATATAGCTCAACGGTTATAAAGCTTGAAGGATGAATTGAAGCTTCGCTTTTCTTGAGCTATGGTGTTTCTTTGGGTTTTCTTCTTCGCAGGGAGGTGACCAGGCGCTGTACAACGGGTTCGGGGCCGCCGGAATGCATGGCGCCGCCGTCATGCAACCGCCGACGTTCGGGCAGGTACGCGGCCAAGAACCAGTACTCCCGTGGGTTCAACTTCTTCCCCAATTCATTCTGCTTCTTTACCAGCGTTGGAAACAACTACCTGCCACCGCCGCCGCGCTCACCTACCCCCGCCGCTCCTGCCTGCTTTGCCTGCCGCCGCCCCCGCGCTCACCCGCT